GAGGATAGAGTAGAGGATAAGCTATCTGAAGATTGTATTCCAAATGAAGTTCTTGAGAAACTTTCGTCTTCTTCGGAGAATCAATTTTGGACTTCGCGTTTGACATTTCTTCGTTTGATAGTCTCAATTTACATATGACGTAAAATTCATAGGCTTACATCATCAATGTGTATATATTTGAGTAAGTGATGATCATCTTCTTCATACTTCTCTATGTGGTGTTTGATCGTTTCATTTAACAGAAAGGGACTGAATGTAACACCAAATACAGCTCGGGTAAATCTTAGGGTTATGATATTCTGCTCCTCAATGTGGTCGACCCAAAGGAATCTCAAAACACCCGTGTCTTCCTTTGCTATGCGAACCATGAGAAACGCATTTTCTATGTGAGAGCGATTTTAAAACTTCTAAATCTGATGATGATGTCCATTATCTTTTGAGTAAGTATTGGTCCTGCATGTACACAATCATTCAAAGAGGTTCCATTCGATCATAGACGATTCTTAGTTTGGTAGTAGACTTTTCATTCCTCACTGCGGCATTGTGTGATATATAGTGTATATTTTCATTGGGAGGTTCAGATTTTTTTCTGTGTCAACTACTTCTACTATTCCTCTCTTAAGTTGGTCCTTGATTACGTTGTCATACTCCATAAGGATGTTTGGTTCTCGTTGAAGGCGCTTTGGAAGATGTTTTAATCGTTTCAAGCTCAAGTCATAATTTTCAGGCAAAGGAGGATGCATAGATTTCCATGCTAAGCTCGCTTCATAATATCTTCCATTGCAGTTTATCTTCTCAATGAATTCTTCATAGACTGATTTAGAGTTGATTCCAAGAGATTCGAAATGGATAAGTTTGGAGGTTAAGCTATCTGTAGTCATGGTTGGTCCAGAGAGTACTCACCCTACTTTGGTGTGAATATCTATAGGACCTTCCTCCCCCGTTCCATTTTACCAGTAACGAAGTTCCAGTATTGATCAGACCCAATTAGAATATCAATGGGAAGACCGCCAAACGTGTAATCTACGAACCAAAGTCGAGATCGATGAGGATAGGCTTGATGTGTCTGAGCATCACCTATATATGGTACTACATAAGCTGTTATCTTTATTTCAGTAGCAGCTTCGGTCTTCACACAGAATTCTACAACATCGACAGTAAGAATTCTTCCGATGTTCCAAAGGTCTTTTCTGTCTGCCTTTTACTTGAAGGGTCAAAGATTTCGAACTTCTTTCGGTTATGAATGTCCGGGCTATTATTTTGGTGTGTAGATTGGCTTCCATCCCATTGAGTTTCGGGTTTAGTTGTAGGAGTGTCTTGTTGAGTTCCCATGCTGTCGTTGTGGTAATCTATCTTTGTCACTTGTATTTGCTGGACAGATTACGATACTCGCAATTGTTGCATCTCATATTGGTAGGACAATCTCTGGAACTATGGCCCTTGCAGAAGAATATGAAACATCTTCCAAATTTTCTAAAGATGCCCTTCCTTGCATGGATGTTTCGGTTTTACAGCTGCTGAAGGGTGTTTCTGCAGTAGGTACATTAGGTTTGTCCTGAAGGTGAGTCCTGTGTGTAAAGAGCTGTTGCTGCTGCAGATATTAGGAAGGCTTCTTGTTCTGATTAATAGAGTGGGATTGTCGACTTGGCCTAGTAGATCTGGATCTGAGAAAAACCCCAGTTGTTAGATTAGGTGTATAGCTCTAGTGACGCGACAGATAAATAGGCAAATCCATATCTTGAAACTGTACCCAGTAGAAGATTTGTACGGTGGCTCATATACGACATATTTCACTTTTTATTTTGAATTAGAAAAAAAATGTCACCTAGTTGAAAATTAATTATCACCTATGTGAAAAATTAATTTTGAATTAAAAACTTTAATTTTCATCTAGGTGATAATTGAACGATTTTTGTAAAGAACGGCGGCGAAAAAAAGTTTTTAATTCAAAATAAAAAGTGGAAAATGTCGTATGTGAGCCACCGCAGATTTTGGTATATAAGGTTGGTGATTCGGCGCTTACTCTAAATTGTGGTAAAGGAGGTGCATCAAGGTAACTATAAGGATTCGCAGCAAGTTTTAGACAGGAGAAGATCAATTGTCTAATTGCCACGGATAATCCAATATCTAGATCAAACTTCAGTAAGGGAAACGTCTACTCTATTTTGTACAAACTACTTTCAATGAGAAGGTTGTGTTATCCAGTAGAGGGATACTTTTGAGTCAAAATAACCAACAGGATTCATTAGAGGCATTACAGGTTCCAGGGCTAATTTGACAAAAGTCAACGGTCTAGAGAGTACCACTGCAGATAACAGTTCTATGAGAGGAATAGTCTGCTTGTGGATCGGAGATAGTCTTGTTTTCGAAGCACTAAACTTCACAAAGATACTATTTTCAGATGTAAATTTAACATACACTAGAGCTTCTTAGGCAACTAACGATGCGTCGCAGAATCCAATCAATTGGTAGGCGACAGCAGTATGGTCGGAAAGGTACATCTTTGTAAGTGAATAAGTTTCATGTCTTTTAATCCAAGAACTAAAGTTTTCCATGTATGTTAACAGTTTCCATCTAAATCTTGTTGATCTTTGCATAGTTCCTGGAACAATAGCTTGAAATGAACTAGAGGATAGAGTAGAGGATAAGCTATCTGAAGATTGTATTCCAAATGAAGTTCTTGAGAAACTTTCGTGTTCTTCGGAGGGTCAATTTTGGAATTCGCGTTTGACATTTCTTCGTTTTTGATTATTCATTCAAATAAATCTTGTGAATTGTCAAGGTTGAATCCAGCTTCTGATAGTCTCAATTTAGATATGACGTAAAATTCATAGGCTTACATCATTAACGTGTATATATTTGAGTAATTGATTAAAAAACTCTTGACCATCTTCTTCATACTTCTCCATGTGGTGTTTAATCGTTGCATTTAACAGAAAGTGACTAAATGTAACACCAAATACAGCTCGGGTAAATCTTAGGGTTATGATATTCTGCTCCTCAATGTGGCCGACCCAAAGGAATCTCAAAACATCTGTGTCTTCCTTTGCTATGCGAACCATGAGAAACGCATTTTCTATGTGAGAGCGATTTTAAAATCGCTAAATCTAATGATGATGTCCATTATCTTTTGAGTAAGTATTGGTCCTGCATGTACACAATCATTCAAAGAGGTTCCATTCGATCATAGACGATTCTTAGTTTGGTAGTAGACTTTTCATTCCTCACTGCGGCATTGTGTGAGATATAGTGTATATTTTTATTCGGAGGTTCAGATTTTTTTTCTGTGACAACTACTTCAACTATTCCTCTCTTAAGTTGATAACCTTGGTGTGAACAGCTACAGGACCATATCTGTAAATGAAGGTTCCTGCAATCTGGAGTAGAATTGGACTGAATGTAGAACTAGAGTACATGGTGACAGAGCAATCTTTCGAGCTAGTCTTCTGCTTCAATCCTGCTGAGTTTCGGTTTTAGTTGTAGGAGTGTCTTGTTGAGTTCCCATGCTGTCGTTGTGGTAATCTATCTTTGTCGCTTGTATTTGCTGGACAGATTACGATACTCAGTTGTTGCATCTCATATTGGTAGGACAATCCCTGGATCTATGGCCCTTGTAGAGGCGTCTGTAATATCTTTCAAATTTTCTAAATATGTCCTTCCTTGCATCGATGTTACTGTTTTGTAGCTGCTGAAGGTTGTTTCTACAGTAGGTACATATTGTTCCTGAAGACGAGCCATGTGTGTAAAGAGCTGTTGCAGTTTCAGGTCCACCTCTGGTAGTAGGAAGGTTTCTTGTTCTGATTAAAAGGTTGGGATTATTGAGTTGGTCTAGGAGATGTGGCTCTGGCGCGTTCTTGGGCTTCTTATTCGATACAAAATACTTCAAGTAGTTGATCTAACTTCCATCGATCATCCTTCGTTTCGCGACTTACAACTAGTCTCGTTTCATGTGGTAGTTTATTCATTAAAACTGAAGAAAGGAGACTCCCATATGTTTCAGATGTGACTTCAAGAACTTAAACACTCCTTGTTCGATTCCACTGTTATCATGAATAGAAGATTTGAAAGAGCCCCAAAACCTTTGCCATTTGGAATGTCGGATGGTTTGATCAAACAATTGATAATTCGTTCTGGTTCACGTTGAAAAGATTTCGGATAAGACGCAGCAGATACTGGAGAAAGTGGAAGGCTATGTGCGTTAGTTTTTCTTCAATTGGCACAATTTTATCAGTTTTTATTTTCGTCGTATTCGAAATGTTTGATTTAATACGACACACGCTCAGTTCGATACTATTATGTTCTTGAATAGAATTCAAAATCTCATTTTTTAGTCCAACTTTTCTCTTTAATATGGCTTAATACGTCATAAACATCATCAAAATTGTCTTCCGTCAAACTATTCAAATTATCATTTGCCTTTCATACTATCTATGTCCATATCATATTTTCGATTAATTCCAAGAGGCATTGTGTTCTATTCAATTTCTGCCGCGAAAGGAGTTCTTCAAATTCTGCTTCGTGTCTTACTTGAAAATCCAACTGTCTGTTCAACTGATCCGTCGGACCATATATGGGGTCGGGGAAGATTAAGAGTATGATTTCGACAACTGTATTTTCATTAAAACTTGTTAACTTTTAATTAGTTCAGATTATCAAGTAACAATTCGTCGTATATATAGGTTATTCGTGCTCAATGCAATAAGCATATATATTAATTTAGTGCGGCATAGAGTTGGTTTTTGTGTTGCCAGTTGCCGGTATTTATTGTATGTTTTTACTGAATATTTCATACAGCTTGTAAGTTATTTTATATCCTTTACTGTGATTAAGTTTTATTTTATGACCTGTTTGTAACTATTTCATTTTGTACTTTCAAGGTTTTTGTTATATAATAAATCTTAAGGATTTGAACCCTTGGTTCAGACTGAATTGTATAGAGAGGAAAAACTAACGAGGTGCCACATAACAATGAACTATTTTATTTACTCATATTAGTGATATTACTTTCCATGTGGTCTTGGAATACAACCATATAAGATTTGAATCTCCTTAATGTCAATGGGGCTAAGATGAGTTCTTTGTCCAATGCTGACTCCACGCTGTTTAGGGATGATGGTTGGCTTTCTTCGATCTTTTGCAAAAGAGTAGGCGTTGTAGTGCATGACAGATTCATAGTCGTATGGTTCACCTAGCTCGTCGATGTTTGTGTATTTGACAAAGTTATGTTCCCGTCCTGCAAGTAAACCCACATTATTTATCATTAATCAGTTTTGGGACAGGACTTGTGGAAAATGAAAAAAATATATGAGCGCATCAGTTTATTAAATAGCTAATGTCAATCTATTTTCCATGGGGTCTTGGGATGCAACCATATAAGATTTGAATCTCTTTGATATCAATGGGACTTAAATGGGTTCGTTGTCCAATGCTGACTCCACGCTGTTTAGGGATGATGGTTGGCTTTCTTCGATCTTTTGCAAAAGAATAGGCGTTGTAGTGCATGACAGATTCATAGTCGTAATGTTGGCCAAGTTCGTCGATATCTGTATGTTTGATAAAATTGTGTTCGTGACCTGCAATATTAAACGATGTAATTCTCTCATCATTTTACTATTTAGAATGCCCCTTTTAAATTTATAACATAACGCCTATACAATTGTTTCTGAACCCAAAATAATACAGTGGAATACATAAATACAGTGGAATTTATATAGGGTCTATAGTTTCTGTTAAAGTGGAAAAATAGAGATGAAGAACCAAAGAAGATTAATGGCATTACCTGATTGAATATTGCTGAAATCGATAGTGACGTAATTATCTCTGTCGTGTCGACTCTGTTCATGCCAAGATCCGAGAGCGTGATTAATTTCATGCATAATGGTACCAATTCTCAGACAACCTCGTCCTAAGGTTACAGTTGAGGAAGAATGTCCCATTCCTACTGGAGTATGACATCTGGAATGAAGTGATCAATGATAATCATTCTATCATTCAAAGAAAGGTAACTAAAATGAGTGAATATTTTTCATTATTGAAATCCAATTATATGAAGCTTTACTTTTATGACAAAAATTGGTTTACATTGAGTTATCAGGTCAAGTAAATAAACTGGTGGAAAAACTGCCAAGACGACGTGAGATTGTTGGAACTTACCCTGAACCGTCGGCAAATCTTATATACTGTTTCTGATTTGTATGAGGTGTAAAATGGATACATGTTTTACCATTTACTTTGGTTTTCTCTTCAATGGTTCTCATGGCATTTCTAATTGAGCTCTGATCACTTGAAGCTGCAATACAAAATCGACTGGGTCAAAATTCGTCCACGCAGAAACACGCAGCAAAGTGATGTTTCCTTCGTATCCAAATGAACTATCTGTCAGGTTTGGACAGGTTTCGATTTGTATGATGGTAATTGGTAACTCAACACTTACAGTAGTGTGATGAAATGTAATATGGTAAAACTCCACCATGCCACAGCTTATTCTTGTCAGTAATAGCATTTCTATTCTAAAATAATGAGAAAAAACACATTACATGATTTATTATTATTTGATTTATCATTATGATGTCTGTTAATCGGCTAAGAAGCAATATTAAAAGATCCTACCAATAATGCCTCCTTTACCTTGTCATAGATTTAACATGGACAATTTTGACAATATATAAAATTTGACTTTTACGTTTGATAAACATATTTTGCGTCATTTGCAGCTGAGTTCTTCACACAAGACCACTTTCTTCAGATATGTAAATATCTCATCTATGAGGATATAATTCTCTAGAACTGTAGAGTTTGTGCGTTGGAAATTATTTGCCTTGTTACAACTTACCCGTGTTACAACTAGCACCGGTATCCCCTACCTTTTTGCTGGTGATGTCTGATGTACTATTGAGATCATTGCTAGTGCTAGAAAAGAGTAACGATGTTATTGCAACGTACTGAACAGGTGCTTTTAATTTTTCTAGCCTTTGTTTTATCATCATTCTATAGAAGGTTTGATAAACTTACGTTGGGGTCATCTCCTTCTCTCAACTCAATATCACCCTCATACAATCCTATAAATGTGAAATTTTTACAAGTTAACAAAATATATTTCCATTATATCCATTATATGGATCATTTGGTGGAGAAATAAGATGTTAATTGTACATGCACTATCAATATCAGTTGTCATGATGGTATATACACCATCATGTATTCTGAGAGTGCACCAACGGGTGTTCTAAGGGTGTTTGCACCATTGGGTGCATAAAGGGCATATGCACCATAACGTGTTCTAAGGGTATATGTAACATTGGGTGAACTAAGTGTACCTAGTAGGTGATCTAATGGTACATGCACCGTCAGTTTTAATGAGGGTATGCATCACGTGTTCTGTTGGTTTATGTACTAGCAGGTGATCTGGGGTCTATGCACTATCAGGTTATATGAGGGTTTATGTACCATCAGTTGGTGTCAGAGTATATGCACCATCAGGTGATCTGAGAGTACACGCATCATTCATAGTCAGAGTGTATGCCACATCGGGTGCTCTATGGGCAACATTAAGTGTTCTAAATGCACCATCAAGAGATCGGAGATGTATACACTACCATTTGTTCTGAGGGTGTATGTACCACATATGCTCCATTAGAATCTCCAAGGATGTCTTGTCAGAAGTAAGAAGATTTCAGCCTTACCTGGGTTTTCTTCAGGGAAATTTTCGTCGAATTCTAAAAAAGAAACAATAAAGTAAACATTTAAGTCAGATATATAGACTAATTTGATTTAAAGAAGGGTGTCATTTTTCAAATAAATTTATTTATTAATTCGAAATATTGATTTTATTATGGATAATTTGAACAGCAAATATCTTTGCTATTTAAGCAGAAACATAGCCTATTGTTTTTTTATATATAAATTCTCGTATAAATATTCAAAACAGAAGAGATACACACCATTTGGGCCGAAATTCCCAATCTGAAAAATAAATAAATTTCACTAAACAGAAAGAAGAGAGGCGAAGGTTGTGTGGCATTGAAAATAGTTTTCGTCGTTGTTTCCCAGCATAAGATTTGAAATAGGCCTACGCTTCAATCCATATCTGGCTAAGATTTGAAATAGGCCTACGCTTCAATCCATTTCTGGCTGCTGATGCATTCTACCATAGGAATTTTAAAATTATCTCGACCAATCTTAATCTAAGATTAATTTAATCTGGTATTTATATATATATATATATATTTTTATTTTAGTGCCCATTGAAACTATTCTAATGAATATTAAAATGTAACAGGCCTACATTCCAAAATAGAAACAACTATTTATACAGTCTTACTGGATTTTGCTCTATTGGAACACAGTAAGTGAGTCCAAAAATAGCCAACAAGCACCAAACAGTCTTCATGGTGACAATTCCAAGATTAAATTTATTTGTTGGTTACGTGAATATTTAAAACATCAACACTCCCCTGAGAGATAAGATAAACAAAATTGGCAGAAGTCATTGTTTCTCAGTTCAACCACGATTTTGACAGGTGTAGTTGCTGTCGGAATAGAAAAAAATAACAATGACATTAGGACTTGTGCTTTTTTTTGACATTAAACTTATAGACTGAACTGTAGTACTTAACAGTAGTAGTTTTGTAGTCTGTAGTTAAAATACAGAGTTTTCTCCCTTGTATTAATTAGGGACAGAACATTGTAAACATTATCTTCACATCTTGTCTTGACCTCAAGTGTCAACTGATAATAATCGGATTTTATGTTGCGACGGGCAATGGATAGGGTGTTAGTGGTAGGGACGGGGCTAACAGGGTCCGTCACGGCGGCGCTGTGTAGACAACAATTACCAGAATCACCTCAGATCTCAATCTGGGATAAAAGCCACGGTGCAGGTACTGAAATAAATCGAAAGTAGAAGAATAAATATAGGCCTATCGATGAATATAGAATTGCCTTGGCTTGTTGTTATTTAGTGTCATGATTTCCAAAAGGTCTAAATTTTTAAAGTAATAGTAGCAATTAACTTGCTATGGAGTAGCAACAGGCTGTGAAAATGTATGACAAGCTGTTTTATTTATTTATTTATTTTTTTATAGAAAATCAACATAGGCCTACTTACTTACATAGGGCCTAGAACAGAAAATAACTAGGCTAGATCAACTGTCTTATCACAAATTAAACACCCACATGGCGACATTTTCATACCCCTGTCTGTCTATTTGGCAGGCAGCATTATTTTATGTAAACACAAGAAATAGAGACTGTACTTTTTATCCAAAAACATGAGGCATGATGATATCTTAGTCTAGTCCAAATTTGGCAATTATTGAATGAACAGTTTTTTAACGCCCACAAATAAATGTTTTTAGGGGTATATTGTAATCACCCTCTCGGTCACATTTGGCTCGTACTCACTCTATGAGCTACAAGATTCTTTTGATTTTTATTTTGTGGGTCAATATCATTATAAAGATGAACTCTACCGGTATCAAATTTTGTGATGATCTGATACTATTAACTGAAATATTGTGTCTGACTTCGCGTTTTCACTCTATTAGCTTGGTGTGCATGTATGATGAGATCTCTGACAAGTTTAAATATGACAATGATTGGATGAATGGTTTTTAAATAATGGCCCTGACTTAGTAAAATATCATCAAATTTGGCTAGTAAACATGATAGACAGTGAGTCAACTACCATATGTACCAAAATATACAATAATCAGCTAATCAATCCAAGCAAACAGCAATATATATATATATACGAGTGAAATAGCATTAACAACAGACTGAAAATCTTTAAATCTTCCATTAACAGGAATTGACTTGTTACAGAATGTATGAGAGCATAATATGTTAAAATTTTCAGGGGATTGGCTCCAACCTACTTGAGTCCTGTGTCCATGAGCCCCCATTAATCTAGTTGAGCTGCTGAAGATTGAGACTACAGTATTTAACTGACCTTATGAAACTTTTTATGCATAAAAGCTTAATTGATGGTCGAATTTAACTATTGGATTAAGTGTTTTTGAGTAATTTCCCTTCAATTAGAAAAAAATACTTCATATTTGGCTTGTAGACTTGATAGAGACTAGAGCTGTCATCTGATCTGATCAGAGACTTGGTAATTGTATTGTATTGTATTGTATTGCTGAAATGTTGATCAAAATAGAATTTAGCCATTATTGGATTATTGAATGTAACAGTAACTAAGATAGTTCATAATCTGTTGGTGCTCATTGTTGAATTTGAGGGTAGCCATCCAACTTGTTATTATACTGAGTTAACTCAGAACTTTACTTGTATCTATTGTCAATAATTCCATGACATCACTATTTTAGGAGGTCGAATGTCTACCAGTAGAAGTCCAAATGATGATAGGTGTACTGTTGATTTAGGAGCTCAATATATCACCTTAAAACCAGAGTATAAAACTAAACGATCCAGGTTTGATTCTTACTCTTAATGATATACTACTATTCCCTAGGTTTCAAAGATATGTCTATATTCTGTATCAAGCTACAGTCCTCCAAAAACTCTTTGTCACTCAGCATTTATTTAGTGGACATGTCTCTTGGAGCAATAGTTTTAGTGATGCATTCTAGGGACTAAATGAAGCAGGATTTGAAAGTTGACATAGGAAATTATCATGTTCATTGATGCGATTTTCTCAAATTTGATAGCAATTTGTGCCTTTATTTCTTTTCTCCATGACTTCTTAATTCTAATGTTTAAAAATAGACAGAAAATCCACAAATTATATTATTTTAGTTTATATCAAGAGCTGGTATCAGTTGGTATATTAGCCCCATTAAAGGGGAAAATAGAAAATGAAAAGTTTGGTGGTGAAGATTCACAACATTTTGTAGCCAGTAAAGGAGTTAGTTCAATTGTCAAATATTACTTGGCATTATCAGGTAAGTCAATGTTTTATATAATGTATTAAGCCTGTTTAATGCATTTGGCAAATTATTTTCTAATACAAAATAAGTTTAATTTCCAATATTTGTGTATACTTCATAGTTGCACAATTAGATTTTTCTTAAGTATAAGACGCAAACTTTATTGACAGTTAATTGTTTTGAATAGATTACCTACTTTTACAGACAGGAATATAGCTTTCTGCTTATGATTTATGATTTGTATTTGTAGATTCTAATATTGAATATGATTATCAAGTGAATCATATAGACTATATCAATAGTAATGATGGTGTTAAAGTAAAAGTAGGAACTACAAAGGGTATTACAGAGGAATTTGATGCTGTTATTTTAACACAACCTGTACCTCAGATATTACAGCTTACTGGTCAGATACGAAACAGTTTAGGTATGAATACAATCTCCATTCACAAAAATTGAGAAACCAATTGCAACCAATCTTCTTATAATGTTTCATAACACTGTTTAATGTTGATAGAGCTCAATCTTTCTTGCTGATGGTTCTTTAAAATGAAAATTTGCCATTGGATATTGAATTTAATTTAATTTCAGAAAAATCTCCAGAAGTATACAGTAATTTAAAGAATGTGACCTATTCCTCTAGATTTGCTGTGGGTTTATTCTATGAACCAGGAACAAAATTAAACTATGAATGGTGTGCTAAGTATTTCCCTCAACATGAATGTATAGTGTATGTTTCTATAGACAATAAAAGAAGAGGTATAGGTGAGATATTTTGTAGATAGGTTGTTTGTTGACTTTCAAAACAAAAAACAAATACAAAAATAAAAACCACTGACATTGAGATGCAAATTGTATACAATTTATGAATGGTGTGTCAATTGGTTTTCTATTTTTTTGTTTTTAAAATGGTTTTGTGGAGTCATTACACCATTCCTTGGCTAACTTAGTCACTATTTGTATATTATAGAAAATGGTTGTGCACCATCAGTTGTAGTCCATACTAATGTTACACCGTTTAGTTTAAAAAATCTAGAAGAAGATAAAGAAACAGTAGGACCTGTTATTATGAAATATTTAAAAGATTTATTACCTGATTTACCAAAACCCAAATCTGTTAAATATCATAAATGGAGATATTCACAGGTAGGATTTTTAATTATTGTCATTTTGATAAGTGGATCTACGACTTCTTGTCTTTGTCTGTCACCGCCTTTTCTTTGCCTTATAACCATTTTCAGTTGGTTATAAGGAATTTCATTTTGCAATGATGGCAGCTAAGATAGGATGCTGCAGACACTAACTTTCTTCATGCCATCAAGCCTCTTTTTAGGAGAGTGACCCAACTCCTATTATGCTAACGGGAGGTATGAATTTGTTTTGTGTCGATCTCGTCTTGGCCATAGTCACCTTACCTAACTGTTATCTGCTCAAGCGAGAGCGTCAACCAGTCTGTGATCACTAAATAGATTTACTGGACAGTGAAACACATTCTGATTGAGTGTAAGAATCTCAAGCCCATTAGATTCCAGCACTACCATGCTGGATCTTTACACTATTAGGTACATGGCAACTGTTGTTTTTCTTGGGAAATATCAGCCTAGAATATGTTGCTGATAAGCCACATTAAAAGTGGTATAGACAAACTAGGTAATCATAACCTATATTAGTTACCGTCTGTCTTTTTTCTAGTCTCTTATCATTAGGTCATCTGATTATTCCTACCTTTTTTTTTGTAAAAAATATAGTTGATCCAATTGCTGTTAAGATACCTTGACCCAGTGTTCCAATTTCAATATTGACCGTGCTACACTTTTTTTTCTTGAAATTGTCAAAGAAATATTAACTTATATGAATATTTGATTTGTGCTTCATTTGTGCTTTCTAGTAAATATTTTCATTACTATTTTTTTATGTGATTTATTTTTCAGGTGCATAAAAGTTATGCCAATAAACCTGGATGTATTATATTAGAATCTAGACCACTAGTAGTATTAGGAGGGGATGGCTTTACTCATTCTGGTTTTGATGGCTGTATTGACTCAGCAGAAAAAATTGTGGATACCCTAAATAAAGTACTATCTTCCAGTTTATAAAACTGATTAGTTGACTGCAGGAAAGTATGTATCCTGCAAGACTAGGAATAAGATGCCTTTACAAATTTTATGTAGGAGCAGATGGACTGTTCTTAATCTTTATCCATTCTTTTTATATGCCCACATGAATGTGGTCGTATATTGTCGTCGCCCCTGTCCGTCGGTCCGTCCGTCCGTCAACATTTCTTGTGAGCACTATAGAGACTACAGTTTTATCTGATTTTGATAAAACTTGGTGTGATGCTTTAGATTGATAAGATCTCGGTCAAGTACGAATTTGACATATTTTCAATGAACGGTTTTTGAGATATTGCCCTTGACTTAGAATGCCTTGAAATTTGTTAAAAAATGTTCGTGAGCAGGATTGAAGCTACAGTTTTCATCCAATTCTGATGAAACTTGGTGTGATCATTGGAATTGATAAGATCTCGGACAAGTTCTAACTTGACACATTTTGCCCTTGACCTTGTAAAAACGCGTCAATATTTGTTAAAAATAGTTCGTGAGCAGGATTGAAGCTACAGTTTTCAACCGATTCTGATGAAACTTGGTGTGATCATTGAAATTGATAAGATCTCGGACAGGTTTTAACTTGACGTATTTTCAATGAACGGTTTTTGAGTTATTGCCCTTGACTTTGTTAAAATGCGTCAAAATTTGTTAAAAATAGTTTGTGAGCAGGATTGACGCTACAGTTTTCAACCGATTCTGATGAAACTTGTTGTGATCATTGGAATTGATAAGATCTCGGACAAGTTGTAACTTGATGCATTTTTGATGAACGGTTTTCGAGTTATTGCCCTTGACTTTGTAAAAACGCATCAAAATTTGTTCGTGAGCACAATAGAAGCTATAGTTTTCAACCGATTCTGATGAAACTTGGTGTGATCATTGAAATTGATAAGATCTCGGACGTGTTCTAACTTGACGCATTTTCGATGAACATTTTTTGAGTTATTGACATTAACTTACGAAAAACGCGTTAAAATTTGTTTGTTAGCACAATAGAAGCTACAGTTTTCAACCGATTCTGATGAAACTTGGTGTGATCATTGGAATTGATAAGATCCCCGGACAAGTTCTAACAAGAGAAATTTTTGATGAACATTTTTTGAGTTATTGCCCTTGACTTTGTAAACACGCGTCAAAAGTTGTTTTTTGCCCTTGTTTAGAGCTGTGTGATTTAATTGTTTGTTGTATTTGGGTTATTGATATTGATTTTAAAAAATTTTGTGGAATTATTCAGCATAAATAATTTCTTCAATATGAGAAAATTCGTACTTTAGTCACTAAAGACTGTTTTATTATTTCTTGCAACGCAAGCTATCTTTGATATTATTAGTAAACTATATTTGTTAACTATGTTTTAACAACTGATGACTAACATATTTTTATTATTTTGAGAGTGTATATTCATTATATTCTTCCAAAATAAAGGATCAATCAAATTTGTAGGCAGGAGTTTGATGAAGAGGCCTAGTTGGTGGAATGAAACCTCTGATTGTTACTGTCTGACACAAAATCAGAAGATAATAGTTGACATGTACTACTGCTGGGTGTACTACTGCTGGGTATCGTCAATGATGCCACGATATGCCACGATACGATACATATGATATGGGGCAATGGGATAAAATTAACGTTTTGTCTTCATAGTTTCTATATATATATTAAATCATAACTTTATAACTGTGATACTTTGTAATATAGTTGATAGAAGTGGTTAGCGTCCACTGTCTTATAAAAAGTTTCTAACAATGTTATTTTTTAATGGAATGAAAGTTATCATCGAGTATCAATACACGACATCGCAATACAATACTTGTGGCATGTAGTATAGCGATACATCGACTCAATGATATATCGTGCCAAAATCGAAAAATATATAGTATGAGTTATTGCCCTTGTTCTTGAAAACGGGTTCAATTTTTCGCTTGTATACACTGCGGAAGGCACAATTTCTAGAGGGATTTGAATGAAACTTGGTATGAGTGTTAGCAATCACCCACGAATGAACCCTATTGAAAGTCATAATAATCGAAAAATAATTAGTATGAGTTATTGCCCTTGTTCTTGAAAATGAGTTTGATTTTTAGCACATAAACATTCTAGTAGGCACAATTCTTGACATATTTATTCGAAACTTGGTATGAGTGTTAGCAATCGCCAATCACCCAAGAATGAACCCTATAGAAAAATCGAAAAATATTTAGTATGAGTTATTGCCCTTGTTCTTAAAAACGTGTTAAATTTTTAGCACGTAGATACTCTAGAAGGCACAATTCTTGTCGAATTTTGAAGAAACTTGGTATTCAGTATCGCCTCAAAAAGTTCAAAAGAAGTGTATGACAAGGTTGAATATTTCATACTGGTAATTGTTACTGTACTGCTAAATATTTTTATTTAAAATCAAATCTGCCATTCGGGCGTATATTACCTTGCCTGGCAAGCTATCTTTAACCTTGGAACACATGAAAATAAAAATACAACAAAAAAAGATGGTAATTAAATCTAAAGCCAGCATGCAATTTGAATTAGAAACTGACCAAGGGAGATGAGACCATAAAATAATACAATAAAACTTCATTGCAAATCATTTTTATTTGTAAAAGCTCTGTATAATATGGATATAATACTAATAAATCAAGTTTAGAAAAGTTTAAATATATATTTATATCTAAAAAGCACAATAAAGTCTAATGTAATATTTTATTTTGAATAAAACCATGTTCTGCTGTTAAAATTATGTTGAATATTTCAATAAATATTATGCTAGCTAAGAATTACCCTTTTTGAAAGTTAATATGATTTAAGGTTATCTGAACAAAGTTTATGTTGTTAAGACTATAATCTAAAACCAATCATCCATTTGACAGGCATTGTTATGTTTTCACTGGGATTGTTCCTGTAAAAGTGTAAAAATACACAACTGAGTTGCATGAGAGTTGCATTCATACTTCGAAACTAATGACCACTATTCTTATTAGCAATCATATGCAACTGGTGATAACTATGATATGAGAGCCCTTTAAGATAGAATACCACAAATTATATAAACACACAAACTAAAAATATTATATTTATTGCAATATATGTAAAATCATGTCCTTTCTAAACCATTGAACACCTTTCTATTGGCCATGATCATGATCTCATCTTTCATCAGTAAAGTCTTCCATTTCAACTTTTAAAACTTGAAGTTAAAGATCTTAAACTTAGATGTTAAAAATAATTGAAATATCTATATATAAGTAGAAAAAAAATTATAAACATTAAAAAATATTTTTCATCTTTGTAAGTCATTGTAAAATGGAATGTAAATTTATCACAGTTACAGCCACACATTAAACCAGGATGTTTGTCCGTTATGGTTCAGCCTTGTCCAATTTATAAAGTCAAGTGACCAATTTTAATGTCAGTATAAGGTACTAAAAATATGAGGATTTCAAATTGTCATGAAAATCAAAATAAGATCAATTTATAAATCTTGATACATAAAAAGAGTTTGATTAAAAATGATACAGCTTGAAAGCACTTGGTGGGGTTAGATTATAGTTTGATTTTAATGAAATTATTCAAGACATTATTGCCAAGTTTCACCTCTTCTGCTCCTTTTAAGCTTAATCCATCATAGCTGGGGTTCATGTACGCATATTTGTTGCTGTCTGTAGAGATATTTTTTGCATAGTCTCCTCTTCGTGATGCATTAACCTGAGATGACCCTTCACTTGAGTCATCATCTTGAATACTGTCGCTTTGCTCTTTAGCAAAATTAACAAATACCTTGAAAAATATCAATCATTACAATTAAAATTGACTTTTCAAGACATTAAAAGCAGATTCAAGAATTTTCATACTTTTACTAAAATATATTTTTTTCAAAAAAAAAGGAAGGCTTTTAAATGTTACAGGTTTGATTAGCCTAATTAATGAAAAATTTGTGGAGTCTATGATCTTGTATATTAGATAATAAACAATAGGCTACCTACCTCATCTAAAGAAGTTTGCGAGAGAGAATACTCTAGAATGTCTTTCTGTGTCTGTAACCTTTCTAACATAGAGAATATATCAGCTACACAACTTGATTCTCGTGGTATATCTAACTGTACTATTTCTGATGTCTCTTCCTATAAACAACAAAAATCATTAAGAAAAATGTTTCCTCCATGGTCAGCTCTGCCTACAATACAAACTAAAGTAACACATAATGCTACTGTACAATTCTAGAAAGAAGACAAATTATCCATGTTATATATAACTTAAAGCGATGTGACTAACCTTGATTTGTGTACCAGGGAACTGGTTAATAAAAGCTTGAATAACAGCTATCTTATTATTACTGAGACTTGGTATACTTATTCTAACAATATAACCATCACCAAACCTTAAATATACATGTAAATAAGATTAATACTGTCGCAAAAACATTTGACATTAAAATTAACATCTGATTTCCAATTTTTATGTCACTCTAATTCTCATTTGGCATGAAATATAAAATACTGAAACTTTTAAGACTTACTTATTCTTAAGATGTTGTGGACTGCCCAGACATTTCAGTTGTCCATTGACCATGATGGCTAGTCTAGAACAGAGGTGATCACACTCATCCATACTATGTGAAGTTAACACCACAGATTGTCCCTGTCTAGTGGCATGGTGAATTGTTTTCCATGCCAGACGTCGTGTTACGGGATCCATACCAGTTGTTGGTTCATCCTATTTGAGTATATCAAAAGAAAAGCATTTGACAATGACATTACAATCGTAATATTATAATCTCAACTTATTTGATCTGTACTCTAGTACATTTACATTTTAGGCGAGGAAACAATTACAATTTTAAATTTGAAACAAAAATTAGTAAGAAATTGAATTTAAAAACATACCAAGAATAAAATATCTGGTTCTCCAATCATGGCTATGGCTAATGATACTTTCCGTTTGTTACCACCACTGTAGGTCTTTATAGCTTTCTTAGCATACCTGTTTAACTTGAATTTGTCTATTAAGTCTTGTACCATCTAGAAAAGACAGTAAATTACATTCAAATATAGTACCGGTATACACTGTTACATGAAATCTACTGTAGGTGTTGCAAGTTAATATATAATACTATAATGTAAGCCTTCCTACCAGTATCATCACATACATTTTTTAGAAAGCTCAGCTTCCCACAGGAATTCATATGCCTAGTGTATTTAATAAATATTTTCATATATACCACGTAGACCTACATATAAATAACACAATGCATCAAGCAATATATTACTTACAGAAGTAGCATTTGAACCTGTATAACCTTTAACTCTGGCATAAAATAATAACAATTCTTCAGCTGACAGGAATTCATCTAAACCACCATATTGAGGACAGTACCCAATATTCTTTAGGATGTCGCAGTTTTTATTATTTCCATTGCCACACAATCTACAGAGAAAAACAAATATTAGTACTTGACTCATTGATTTTTCTCAAAGACAATTAAAATCTCCATGCGTCATTTCTTGTTCCATGCATCACTGTATAGTGACAAATCACATCCATGTAGTCAAAAAAAGATGTTTTAAAATATTGTAAAAAAAAGTAGTACATACTGTTCTCCATGAAGTGATGCTGATCCTAGTGATGGAGTTAGTTCCCCTATTAACATTCTAAATGATGTTGTCTTTCCTGCTCCATTAACTCCTAACAATCCAAAACACTGAAAAATACATCAATAACGTTACTTACAAAATACTTTTACAAGTCAAATGTTATTTAACATGGTAAAATAATAACACTATAATAAACTACTTAATATGACATTAGAATTATACTTACTTCACCATGATGTACACCAAAACTAATATTATCAACAGCTAAAAATTTATGCAAACCTCGTCGGAAAACCTGAAATATTGAGATTGTTATTCAATCTAATACATTAAAGTCATTCTTTATTGTCTTTAGAACTCTACATAAATTTTGATTTTGTTACCTTCTTTATAAAAAGTGTTTTTTTGGGTTTTTTTGTACAATTTCATGTTTCCATATACCATGAGTGTGAATGTCAAATATATAATACATGTAATCTAATTTGGTTTTATGAGAAATTGCTGAATGGACAGATCATCATAATTTAGATATTTAAATCCTACCTTAGTCAGTCTATTGACAACAAAGATATCTTCATTATTTTGACCTTGACTTATTCTATCAGATTCACATTGCACATCTTCTTCTTTATCATAATCACCCAACATCTCACGGCTCATTCTATTAATAGATTAACTTAGTTACTTATTTATTTCTACAACCACAGTCTGATGTCTTACCACCACACTTTTATGGCTTACAACTACAGTTGATTTCTTACAACCTTAGATGATGGATTACAACCAAAGTTTGATTGCTTACAACCAGAGTTTGAAGGCTTTCAACCACAGTTTGATGGCTTACAATCATAGTGGGATAGCTTACAACCATAGCAAATGCAACTCTCATGTAACTGAGTTACATTTGGAACTCATGTCCACTTTCTTTATTCGCAACCATACGCAGCTTGTAATAACTTCCCACTTAGCCTACCTGTCAGTAGTCTCTGGTTTATACTCAATTACAACTGTGATACAGAAGAACACAACTCCTTGAATAGCCAGAGCGATTAAATTCCATGCCAGTAAATCAAAACTGAAGGGATCAACATAAACATCATCTCCATATCGTATAAATACTTTATACTTAAAGTGATTAGTACTGAGATCGATAAGTCCTTGACATAAACTGTATTGTGGGAAGATCAGGAACACATATTGTAACACTTCAGTGACCAATTTCACATGCTGCAATAAACATACAGGTATATTCCTTTAAATTATAGTACAACTATTAAGCTTATTCTGAGAGGTGTCTTAACTCCTTTCACACTATCTGAGCTAAAATATACTCTTTTATACAAGCACTGGCCTAGAATACAGGAAGAGACTAAGTATTTCAGCCATCATTTTGGCACAATAAGGCTTATGAAGATGAGACAAGCTTCTAAAAAATAATCCCAATGTTATAAAAAATGTGAATCTGTCACTAAATATTTAGACAAGTTAAATTGCCTTTCTTATCATTCCAGGATTCTTGAACTAAATTACTTATTTTAAATATAAAAAGGTTGAAAACAGAAAAAAAATAATGGTTGGAATTTTCTTGAAAACTGAAATAATAAAAAGTAAGTTAATGAATTTTAGTACTCACTGATAAGTGACTAAACAACAAGAGACATAGTAACGTAATTACTGTTATTATACCCAAAAACATATTGATACAGAATAATACTAGATAGGCAGCAGAACCAGTCTTAAATAACTTCAACATGGAATACATCATTGGCAATATAGCAAATCTGAAATACATAATGAGTAATTCTAAGAAATAATTCTGAGAGCAATGACTTTGTTGTTTGTTATGAGCTTAAACTTAAGTATTTTTTTCTAAATTCCGGGCTCAGAATTTCAGACAATCTTAAAGAAGACATTTGTGGCAAGTCAATAGAAATACATGTGCCTGAGGATGACGGGGGGAATCACGTCGAAACGTTGCATAAAACTTTAACCAGTGATTGTTGTTCCATAAATCTGTGTCTATATATCGTACTCACAATTGCTAAATGCCATTTAAAGACTTTAATAAATCCTGACTGTTCACAATGCACAAGTGTATATTTAACAATACATACCCAAACAGTATAAGTAGAGCAGTAAAACCAGCTAGATTGTATCGGAGATAATAAGCTTCTGGTTGGAATATACAGATGATAATAACAGCACATACTACTGATACCATATAGACAAACTACAAATTATTAACAATCTTTACTATTCCATTTAAAAGTTAGAACACAATCCAAATGAAATGAAATTGACTTTGAAGTCTTACTATTATGATTGAGCTAATTATAAAAGCCAATGCCATGCAATGTGCAATCAGAGACATTTTGCCCCGACATGAACCTAATTTTAAAATTTTCCAACTGCCGAGAAAATCTTTAAGGTTTGAAACATAAGATAACAGCTAAATGCTATGTGCTACACTGTAACATAATGAATACAAGATAGACAATTAATACTTACAAAATCCCAAATGAATGTTGCTAACCAATAAAAGAAAGGTCCAACGCCACTTATAGATTGGATATGTTTTTCATTATTTAAACGTTCTCCAATAGATATCAATATCAAACCACTGGGTACAAAACAGAAGGCCATTAATACTATAATTGCTATTCCAGCATCAGCTGCATTCTGTTCCCTGAAAAATAATGTTGTAATCCAGGTATTCCATGAAATTACTTAAATGATCTGCTAATGATATCTATTTAAAAATATCTTGAGGAATGTTGTACTTTCTTTAAGACTTTAACATGGAAGCCTACTCATTTTCAATGAACAGTAATAGAATCAATACACAAACTTAGTTTTGAGTTATAGAAGAAATATAAAGTGACAGTTTGAAACAGTGTCTTTAATAGTATTCACACTGGGTTCTACAGTATCCAAGTCTACTTACAGTAAATCAGATGACAGTGGTTGTAGTTTGGATGGTAATGGATGATTGTAGGCACTTATACCTGTTAATAAAATTATTCATAATAATATATCAGCTTAGTTAATAACACCATTCATTAAGATTAAATGAATTATTAGCACAGTTTAATAATTAATGGTATTAAAATAAGTTATATAGCACTTATTCAATAGCAGGACAAATAATATCTAATCTTGAAATCATAGTATTTCCTATTGGACCACAAGAAATACAGCTGTTTCACAAGCAGTGATGAACTCTGCTCTTTGACTTTTGCAAATTGATAACAATAAAAACGTACCATATTCAGCTCTCTGTTCTGGAGTCAGTTTAGAACGTAGTAACATGTTACTGTAAGCATTTCTGAAGGCAGGCATAGCATGATAACCCTTATTGTTAAACCAGACCCTTACTGTTGACTCTTCATTGGAAGTCTCAAATGACCAGCCACCATATCTGAAATGATCAAGACAATTCAATGTCAAATTAGCAAACCACTTTAATGAGTTCATTAGAGTCAAAGTTAACCTCACTACAATAGGCGATAAAGCTGATCTCATTGGCAGAAAGAACATGAGAACCCATGCAACTGTATGATACACCTTAGCTTTCTTTTCAGAAGAATAAACTGATTTTGCTTATCTTATATTCAAAATACAATAAACTTCGCTGACAAGATAAAAAAAAACAATGCAAACCCTTTTTCAATTTCTTATCAGAATATCAGGTGAAGATGAAAAGTTTCTGCAACAATTTGCTGTCAACAGTAAACCAATGAGCAGGCTAGCCATATAAAATCAAATATCTGACAAAAACAACTTTGATGTAAACACAAAGAGGCAAAGACTTACCTCTGTTCAATAAAATCAGAGAAACTATCAAGTAAATAACCATCAATATCATAACCATTTAATTTCTGTAGATAGTCATCTGATATCATTTTTAATTGACTAGGAGAGGTGGTTGTTGATTTTTCATTACAGACATGTTGGTAGTCAGAACAGGTACAACTAGGCAATGTTTTATTACTGGATATAAACTGACCTGTTAATTTACCCTCAGATAAACATGTATAACCACTGAAATACATTATAGTTTACATACATCATGGAACTTTGTAAGGAAATAAACATATTTGTATAACTTATGAGGTATTTGAGTATGTGAATTTTACACTAAGCCTTAAATAAAGATCAGATTTAAATAAATTCTTCTCATATTCACCATCAATATAAAGGAAATATTAAAATTGACTTCTTGTTAACCATACCTGGGTTGAAAGTTTTTCATACAAGTTGTTCCTACGCCTGGGGAATTGATCATACTTCTGCTCATTCTTTCAGTAGTTGGACTTAGCATATCATCTCTACAAATACACAGTTAATCAAGCATTAAACTAATTCTTCAGGAGAACGGTTAAGAAGGTACAGTATGTCTCTTTCACCTTATTCTACGCCTAGAATGTCACACTTTTATTATCACTTAAGGCCAAGTCTTGTAGATTTGCTGGTAGTACAGCTGACACTGGACTATTTCACTATGAACTTTATGCCTAACAATCAGATTAACATTTGTCATGAAGGTGTTTCAATTCTAGTGTAACACATCTAAAAATTGTCCATTGTTTCTGAATATATTGATATACAACACCTGAAAACCTTTATTATTTATACCTACTTGTAAAACATGTAGCTATTTGGTCCATACATGGTTGGTGTCATCAACAAATTGGGTAGATTATATTTCTCAGGGCGTATTCTTGAAAAGCCAACTGCTGCTAGTAACAAGATGACTGGTAATACTAAAACAGATATCAACATTCTCCAGTCTCGTCTGTAATGATGGAATCGTTTTAATAAAAATGCTCCTAGTTGATGGAAACTCAAGCCACATCCAGATTTACGAGTTTCTTTTCCTGTCTTTATATTTACTAGGTGAGCATCTGAAATGAGCACAGCAAAAATCTATATGTTTAGTTGTAACACAAATCTGCTACATTTTCAACTAACTCAAACTTTTTCTTTTTTTTTTTCAAAAATTGTCCAAAATAGAAATTTCAGCTCATACAAAACTTCTCCAAAAAATAAATTATAGTTTACTATATTTTATGTCTTGATTCACAAATTCCTTTGAACATAATTATGTATGAATACACACTACAATAACAAGCAATTGGAAATTATTGCAACATTACATAAAACAAAACACATAAAACAACGATTAAGTATTTTAAGCATATAAGCAGATATATAACAGAGGTAAAAGGTAAGGTGAAATTAAATTCATTATTTAAGGTCAGACTCGTTTCCAAGTTCCTCTGGTCAAAAATGACCCTGAAAATAGGTCTTGGCAAACTTTCATAGTCATATATCTAAATAAATTAACTCAAATAAAAAGTCGAAACAAGGTCTTAACATTATAACATTTATAAAACATCAGGGTTGGGATTTACAATGAACCACAAAGCAACAAAAAAACAGGAGATAAAAAATAGCAGTTACAAAAATTTACCTTCTATTTCCATTGGTAAGAAACTACTACTACTCACTATGTGTTAGAAATTAATATGTTATTAATTAAAGATAAACTATAATGTTAATATTAGAATTATAGTAAGGTGATTGATTCCATGCCATTCCATGTTTTTACCCCCTTGTCTTGTACAGAAGATATTGACAGGAAGACATAGTAAAGTCTACTGTTATGCTAAAATGTGCTTTAGTTTTAGTATTAGTTCCTGCAGTTTCATCTAACAAGTTTTCTACTAAAAAGGTTTTATTCTTAACCAATCATTACAATAGATAGAATAGCCATCATCAAAGGCTATTATACAAATTTTTACAGAGAAAGATGCATGTAATTATACAATTTAAATACCCTGCACCCACCTGAACTGCTATCTGAAGTGGAATCACTGTCTTTAGAATTGGATCGTGTACGTTTTAAGTCTTCTTTCAACGTGATACTGCTTAATTCTTCGCCTCTATCCACTATAGTAGTTACTTTGAGGAATACCTGTAGATATAACACAAAGTAAAAACAACCAAATAAAACTAAACCAAACATTTCATATTTTACATCCCCATTTAATTGTTTTTCAAAATGCAAAAAATGTTTTTCAGTGCCATGATTGTTTGACATGCAAATCAGGCCAAGAAGCAACAACAGCATTCCTTATGAGTTCACCAAGTTGAATAATATATAGGCAAAAATTGGAACTCAAAAGGGTTTGTCAGAATATATCTAAACAACCTCTCAAAGCTTAGAATCATTAGAAATAAACTTACATCTTCTAAAGTAGCATCTGAGACACCATAACTAGCAATCTTTAACTGTTGTTTATTCTTATCAAGACTGATAAAGAACTCGTGCCATGAAGCAGTTACTGAATCTTTTGGTAGTTTAAATTCTAATTCGGTACCAATATCCTCTGATAATACAGCATTAGGATGGTAGTGGTTGATAAAATCTTGTACCCTAGTTGTACTACATGGATCTGTAAAAAAGACATTTTTTTTTTGTATTTTCACAATTGCACTTACAAGGATAAGCAGGCTTTTCCCTATAGCTGAAAATAGTATAATTAGTCAGATTTGTGAGTATAGTAATCAATCCTGACAAATTTAGAAAAACTCAAGAAGAATTTTGACAAGTGACGGAAGAATTGTAAATAATAAAAAATTGAAAGAACCATAATAATAATATATATCAGGAATAAAACTTACTTTCAGTTACATCTCTAGAACTAGACTGAAATAAAACAAAACCAATGAGAATCAAATATAACGTCAGTTATAAAGAGCCATCAATATTAAACACATTCTTATTGACTAGTTGGCATGCTGTAGGCATTTAAAACATCCCTTTACATTTCCAATTTACAAAAAAATAAAATATGAAACAAGGTTTGAAGACTTACTGGTGAGGGAAGTTGTTTTTCTAAAGTAAGAGATAAACCTCCTCCAATACAGGATTTTAAAAACACAGGTGAACCAGAACATAGGAGTTTACCAGTATGTAATATAGCAACACGATCTCCTATCATATCAGCTTCATCAAGATGATGAGTTGACACCAATACCGTACGTCCTAAAATTATATTATTTATTTATTTTTATTCTGATTCTTACTTCTGTATGGAAGAAAGATATCATTGTGAATGAACGATGAAATACCAATGTTATTTTCAAAGGTGTAGATTGAAAAACTTTTGGTAAAATAATCTTCATTCTAATCTCTGTCTGCTATTGTCAAAGGAGACTTATTTAGGTTCTATCTACTTCTACATGTCGTTTAAAGATTATATGAGACTTTGACTGTCTAACACTGAAAATTATAATGTATATTTACCTAGTTTATGTTTCAAGATAAGATTCCAGATATTTTTTCTAGCGTAAGGATCAACTCCACTAGTAGGTTCATCCAATACAATAGCTCTTGATTGACCAACAAATGCCATAGCAACACATAATCTTCTCTGCATACCACCAGATAAATTCTTACCCTGAACATTTCGAACATGCCATAAATCTACATCTTTTAGTAAACTGAAATGTTTAAATAGTTTTTTATGATATATTTAAGTGATTATGTTATTTCATCCACATGAGCAGACGTAAATACCAAATACAGAAAGAAAGAAAAAAAAGAAACCACTCTACATCACATTTTACAATGATAACAAGGTTTTCAAAGGATTCTTTCTACCAGCTGGTTCTTGAAGAAACATTAGGCATTGATCTTTCCTGGATTACCATTTACAGCTGGATGTCTGGAAGATGACTTATTCAAGGTACTCAGACTTTCACAGGCATACCATGATTAGAATCAATGACCACCATTTGGTAACCAAGCAAATGAAGCAAGGCTCTAACCAATAGTCATACAGCTCCAAATACATAATTAGCCCAAGTTTAACTTTATTGCAATAAAGTATTCAACTCACTCAGTGATTTCTTTTTTTGAAGAATTTTCTGATTTTATACCAGCATAAAATTCCATATGTTCCAATACTGTCATACTGTAAAATAAAATATATACATTTTTTGATATTTGCTTGATATGTTTGACTTTGTGAAAAACTGCCAATAATTCAAAGTGAAAGTTTAATATCTCCTTTAGAAATGTGGAACAATGCAAATTTTTGGGTATATCATACATGCAAATCAAGCACATATACCAGCAAGGACATTGGATACTGTTAATGTTATACCATATTAAAATTGAAATTTATCTTTAAAAAAACTTACAAGTCAAAGATAGTGTTATGTTGTGGACATATACCCAATAAACCTGTAGAGCTACCTGGATAATTACCATAAATATCAACATCTCCTGATGTCGGCTTTAACACACCTGTTATCATATTCCTGAAATATTCAAAATAGACGAAATTTTAATTTCTACACATCCTTGGTCTAAAGTTGGCTTAAGTTGACCACCTTCAACCTTTATTTCCAATTTTGTAAGTTTTTAAATTTCAAAATTATATGAAACTTACATGGTAGTTGTTTTAGCAGCACCATTGTGACCCAATAAAGCAGTAACTTGGTTTTCATACAGAGTCAAATTGAGGCTATCTACAGCTACTGTTTTATCAAAAACTTTACGTAGATTTCTGGTTGATATTCCAACTGGTAAATTATCTGGTGATTCTTCATTTAGTATATCTAATAAATACAATAAATACTTGTATTATATCTAATAAATACAACTTGTTTTATCATATGACATACATACATAGATAAAAAAAACTTTTTTTAAAATTAAATTAAAAACATTTATAATAAGTTTTTTTTAACCTAAAATCACTCACTTAGTTGTTGCATAGTGGAAGGACCATCGAATACATAACTAGAGCCTTTCTTTTTTAACTGACAACACCAATAGGATGGAGAGCATATAAAATACCATGGTTTAGATACTCCATATTTACCTGTAAACATAGTAATATTACTTATATATTATACTTAATAATTACATGTATAAGAAATATGATGCTTGTACCTTTAACTTCCTTTTCTTTGATTTGAAAATATATCTTTCATTTACATGATATTTAGATACAATAATAATTCTATGTACACTTACCAGATTTGACATTTCTAATATACCAGCCCAGTACAAAATAGATAGCACTGTCAATCAACATCATAATACATGACCAATGGAATGTCATATCTTCACCATCTCCTAAACTCACATCAATGTTATGCCAGTGAATACCAGTTCCAATTTCCTCTAATGTTGCTAGGTATTGAGCACCAAAACTGAATGCTGTTGTACAAGACAGACACTGAAAAATAAATAAATATATTAGTGAACAACTTGTGAGATTTGTTCTTACACTCAAAAAGTTTCTGAATTTGTTTCTGAATAATTGAAGAAAAAAAAAACTACTCACAGCAATGATCTTCTGCCAGAAAAGCATGTGAACCTCCATTGAGATGAGTACAATATATGGTAGATAGGATAGGAAGTAGATGATTAAAACAGTCAATATGGCTAATGTGGTTCTTGTGAAAAAAGCACTCACAAAATAACTGAAAAGAAGAGAATAGTTTAAGGTTTGTAAATCAAAAACAACATCAGAGATTGGTAATTTCCATTTACTTTGAATTGTTTACTCTTCAAAGGCTTTCACTTTACTAATAGATATAAATTTTTTATCTGTTCTGCAACATATTTTTATGGAAATAATTTTGTTTTTGTTCAAATAATATTTTTTCTTATCCTCAACAGGCCTCTTAAATAGTTGCAATAACTTATTCTTCCAACAATAAAAACTGTAAATTTTTCAATTTTGAATATTAATACCTACCACAACATAGTTGAAGAGAGACAGAAAGCTAGTAGGTAGAGGAATATAATGAATATATTGGTGAATCTAAACACAGTGCCATAATGTAATATTAAGGCCATGAAGATACAGACTACCATCATTAATAACATTGTAGTTAAAAACCAGGCAATCCAACTTAATCCACTCTTCATACCCATTATACGTAATGACTGAAAAATAATATATAATTGGCTCTTTGATTAAACATATTTTGTATAAATAAAAATGAAAACAATAATCTATTCTTGACTAGACCATTAAACTCTATTCAGGATAACAACTAATCTGTATTTTAGCAAAGCTGTATATACTGATTAATAAATTTAATTCCAAGTCAATCTGATGAGGGATACTTATTTCTTTTGGATCATTATCAACAATTTAAGTTGAATTTTGTGTGGTCTATGTCAGTTTTGATTAAAATACTGTGCTATACACAATTAATATAATGTTATTACCTCTTCTTGACCATTTTCACGATCATAACAAAGATTTCGTGTAGCGATACCAAGGGCAGCTAACCACGCAAACGTCATTAAAACTGGTAGTAGATATGATCCCAGGTAATGAATATAGCTATAAAAGTAATCACCATTTAAAATAAACTTTTAAATTACTTTCCACTATAAGTACTGAGATTTGTAGAATTTTTCATGCTAATTTAACATACTACATTGAACACAGACAAAAAACTAACAAAAATACTAACTCATCTTCAACATAACAAGGATAAGGAAATTGTTGTAGATAAACACCGGGATCAGATGAAGTTGTTATATTATCACCAGTTTGTAGTTTTATAATAGCATTCTCTATCATATCTTGTAGTTGTATAAAACCTCGTTGGTATCTCATATCATTAGCAAAATCTGCATTCGGTCCTGGTTTCCATGTTCTAAAACATATCAAAATATTTTAAGGCACTTCATTGTTATAATTTGGCAGTATTATAATGTATCTAATAGTCTACTGACACATAATATAGTAATACAGCTGAGACAGTCTCATTGTAACACATATTAGACACCTCCAGACCTCTCTTTAAAAAACTCATCTAATCAATGAATCATAAAACAAGTTTTCCCAGTACCTTCGTTTAATTCTATGAGTCTGTATGATATTATCAGTGTCCATTCGAATCTTATATTGTACGTGTTTAGGTAATTCATTTGTGGTAGATCTCTTTTCACGATTATTTGATGTCACTAAATTATTGAATACAATACCTGAAAAACAAATGGCAATATGCATGATCTATTCAGCAATATCAAAATATTTTTATGAAAATACACAAATCAAAATACATTCTATATTTATATTGCAATAATATCAGTTTTTAAAATCCCAGACACATTAGTTGTTTCACAAGAAAAAACTTTTCAAGCTAATTTCCTTGTATCTGAATAGAAGACACACATACCAGCTAAGAAGTTGTTGTCCTCCAGCAATTTTCTGGACTCTGATTCTAAATCTGCCTCTGAGTCAACACCAATATATCTAGAAAGCTCTACACACTCTGTATAGTTCAACAGTAACTCTGCAGCTGTCTGCATTCCATTTAACTGCTGCATATCAAACTGATCTGATTCTAATGCAGCCAACCCATCCATTAGTTCATCTGTATTTACACCAGCAGTTGATTGGATTAAATTTTTGATAAAATCATTCTTCAGTGCTTTCTATAAAGAAATATTTAAACTGGGGTAATGACATGGACAGGGACAATAATTTGGACATGAAATATAAGGCCAACCATTTAGTAATTTGATTTAAACAGAATCTATTGAGTGGTTTAGAAAACATTTTCTTTGTTCATGTTTTTCATAGAGGAAAAGGTTAAGTCACATGATTAAATCATAAATAACAGATAATTTGGTGAAAGATATGGGTGAGGATAGAAACTCCAATTTCCATCACAAATGTTCAATTTCAATTACCTTCAGATCACCCATATTTTTGGCTTCTTCCACCATTGCTTTAAGACCAGGAGACCCAGTAACCCAGGCTCTAGCAACATTTCTAACTTCTACTAATATATCAAAGATATTGTTAGCCTGAAATTAAACCACACACAATTACTACATAACAATAGTACAAGTCATAGAACAGTGAGGTAAAAAGTTAGTAAATTTTACTTTTTTTTTTAGCTGAAACTATGCACAACTCCGAATCATTGAGAAAATGTACCTCATGTTGTGTTAACAAAGCATGTGTTATTTCAAAATTCTGATCTCTTGAAACACAATGAAGATGCTGGGGAAAGAGCTCTGCTTTAATATGTATTGTGATATTAATCATGGTCCAAGGTCTATATATTGTTGTGATTCTACTCATTACATGATAGTTAAAGATTTCACATAAAATCAGCTGGTGTAATGGAGCTTACCTCTGTTACAATCTGTCTTGTCAGGTCATTATCTGGTGTGTACAAAATCTTGCCTCTCAAAATTGGTTTAAGATACGCCCAAATTATAGATCCCAGTGGATTCTTCATTATATCACGGTAAATATCTTGACAGAATTCAGCTGCAATAAAGTTTTGTTAGTGTATTAACATCAAGTCTGAGTAAATCTGTAAAAATTGAAACTGAAGTCCATCTGACGCTATCTGTTTCAGCATGTGCTAAATTTATTCATCAAAATCATTAAGTGTCTGCTAATCTTGCAGAAGTGAATGAAAATCTTACTTGGTAAAGACTGCAATTCACTCTCTTTCACCTCCAATTCACCAACACCTAATACAGATCCAACATTGAATGCATCTTTAACAAGTTCACTAGACGCTCTACCACATAGAATACCTTCTGCTGAGTTCAGTTGAGACCCTAGAAAATAGAACAAGGTTATCAATTTAGATGAAATAGCACAAAAATATATATCATAATTATATAAATTTCTGATACAAATACAATTTCATCATAATTCAGAATAGTGGTGATTAAAATTATTAAAATTGAAAATCATTTATGGATGTAAGAATTAGAAAATTCTTGAGGGGGGAGGCCAAAAATGACAGGTTAGGGCTGCCATAGCCCAATGACCTTCCCCCTAAATGCGCTACTGGATAGATAGTCTGTAGATTTAAAACTAGAATTCTCCAACAAGATTAGAGTGAGTTAATCACAAAATACTTAAAGAGCTATAAATCTCAAAGTACAGAATCCACTGAATAATCTCAGTTCTCAATATTACACATCAAGATATATTATTAGCATTTTAAGACAATTTCTGACCTGTTTGTGCTTGCGGTGAATTCATTAGTTGATCTAAAATCTCTTGTTTCATTGTATCATTGTTGTCTTTTAACATAGAAGAAGCTTTCATCAGTCCCACTTGAGCTTTAGATAACTTCTGGGTCAAATCTTTTGCATCTGCAGATGTCATATTGACTGACTTCAAAATATCATTAGCTGAGGAAGTTACATACTGAAATAATATCATAGAGACATCATAAATTTGGCTTAGGTAGATATTCCCCAAATATAACAAGAAGAATCATTTAAAAAATTATGCAAATAGAATAAATAGTAAGGGTGCCAATGCTTAGAGAGCCAATGGTGAGCATGACAATGCTAAGGGAGCCAATTCAAAGAAATTCAAAGACAGTCAAAGGAAGCCAATTCTAATGCAGCCAGTCACTTACCTAATGAAAATAAAGTAGCTATGATTAAATCAAAGTATTTCAACTTGTTTAACATATTTCTTATCAAATATCTCTTACTTACCATTTTAATCATGTCTCCAATATCTAATTCAGGAATTAGTTGTTCAGCTAGAGTTACAGCTTGTGTTCTATTCAGTTGACACACGACGCTAGTGATATCCTTCATCTCCACTCCAGTTGTATTCAGTATAATAAAATCTTTGAATAATTTCTCACAGCTAAAATCACCTTTTGTTAACATCATGGTAGCATTTAAAAACTGAAAATAATGTTGACACAATTTAAAGATTCAGACTTGTTTTTATGTTTATTTTTCTGTCCAAGCTTGATTCATAAAACAAATCATTAATCAATACCTTAAATTCTACAAATGTTATTTCCTGATTATTTCTTTATATAACTTAAATTTGAAAACCATTTGGATAATCTAATGACACCTGAGAATATCTATCTTTATCAATTCTTATTCTATTTCAGTTATTTTTAAAACATTAAGAAACAACCACTTACTACTCTAAGAGAATATGTTCCACCAAGAACAGTTTTTGCCATGTCCTGTGTAAATCCTAATTCCTTTACCATATAATTCTCAACATCTAATGGATTCTTTAATAAATCTGTTACTTTAACTAAAACCAAATGGATAAAGATGGATAAAGTCTATGGTTTTTATTCAACATGGGATAAATGGATGTTGTCCTGATGTATTTCACCGGTATCTTAAACTTCTGATTGTAATTATAAAATTATAAATTCTTATTGACAAAAGATCTGGTGGTATTATACTGTGTTATGAAAATACAATCCATCACCATGACAACTGATTTGAACATGAGGTTAGAATACAAACTTTCAGATGCTGGAGTACAGAGATTGAACTTGTCTTGATGGACATAAAAAAATCATTTCATTTTGACTTGATATAATAAATTACTTACTTGCTTCAATGATTCTAGACTGAATCAGATCTAATCCCATAAAGCCTTTTATCATCAAGTTAATTTCACCAATAATACTCTGAGACTCTTTATTCTTGAAGACATATTTCATATCATCCAATATGGCTGTTAAACTGAAAACATAATAATAGGTGTTTCTGTAGGATGTAAAATACAACACTGACATTAATAATGAAATTATAATTAACATTTAACAGTGAGTTTCCTCAAGTTTCAATTATGAGACATCCATAATGGTCCACATAGACGCTTCTATTATTCCTGGAACTAGAACCTGTTTTAATTAAACTTTATTTCAACTAACCTTCTAACCAATCTATCTGGACCAGAACCCATTAAAAACCTGTCAATAGTACTGATATCTTTTTGGATATTGTTAAAGTCAAGACCTCCCCCTAATAATTCTATGACACCACTTAATGATTGTAAATCATCTATAAATGTGACAGTATGGTCTGTTAGGTTGTTTAACCAGTTTTGATCTACACCTGTATTTACTAGAGATAATAGCTGAAAACAGAGTACAACACTCAATCAAATCAATATGTAACCAAGAGAAATAGAATAAGATATTTTTATCATTATGATTTTCTTTAATCATCTGGATGCAAGCAATAAAACTAACATGTCAAGTGCAAATTGCTTTCTTACCTCATGTTTATGAAGTGTAATCTTTGTGCAAGTAAAAGCAATTTCTCTTTCTCAAAAAGCAGAAAGCGAATAACATACCTTTTTTGAAATAACAAAAGGAAATGAAAGCATCTCTATATAGAAATATTTTTTTGCTACATGATTCAGCCAATGACATGGAGTTTTTAACACTGATTCAAACTTTTTAGAAAATAGAACAACCAGGAAACATGTCAGTGAATTTGAAAAATAATGCTATTAAACTTTTCAGACATCATGCAAGTGGAAGAGAAGAAGTGAAAGGTCCGAGGGTATACGTCTAAAATAATCCCCCCAAAATACAGAAGAATCGGTACTTGTTTTGTGATGCGACCAAAATCAGCAGCACTCTTGATTGCAACAGCGGCATCCCCGCTTCCATTTTGACATAATATTTCACTAAGGTTGTTGAAATTGACTTCTGCAAATGCTGGTAGCTGTATGAAGGTTGCTAATTTGATTGGATCACATAAAATCTCTTGAATATCATCAACAGATTCGTTCAAAAATTTAGCCTTCAATGAATGAAATAATAGGATTTATGAATAAATGATATGAACATACTTGTATGTGAGTGAAATGTCAATAACCAAAGCAAGTAATGAGACTTTAGCAAAAGTAAAGATAGCTTGTCAGGCAAGGTAACATATGCCCACTACCAGCTGTCAGAAGTGATAACTAAGTCTTTTATTGGTTTAACAATGAATTTTCAAATAATCTTAAAAATCATTAAATTATTATCAAATTAAAACTTGAACAAGGTCTCATCAACGTACACACAACAGCAATAACTCTAAAACAGTTCATCTGATTATTGCCAATTTTGAAATTGACCTTTATTCTGCTCTGAAACCGTTCATCCGAATATTACAAATTTCAAACTTGACTGAGATCTAATCAATATATACCTGAATACTTATTTTCACTAAGGTCAGATAAAAGTTGTAGACTCTTTAGTACATACAAGATATGTAGACGGACGGAGGGACAGACAGAGGCGATGGCAATATACATCTACATTTTCATGTGGGTGTATAAAGATCAACCATATTTCTTTCAGCGAATAGTAGTGAAGTAGATAAATCAAGCTTTTTGTGTAGTTTTTTGTACAAATCTGCTCTGTCTGTAAATCACTAGTCAGATACTAGCAACATGTGTAGTGTAACATACAAGGTCTCTCAGATGGTAACCTCAAGCTGATGCCATATAGAATCAGTCTACACCAACTTTCTGGAAGTTACCTAAACAATCCGTGAGAAATATCAAATATTCACAGAATAAATAAAGAAAGATACTCACAGTGTCTAAGTTGATAGTTGATTTTAACAATGAATCTGTGATATATGGTGCTATTTTTAATACATTAGTAAAATAGTCTGATACTGAGGTAGAATTCTTTAAAACGTCTCCCAATGTTAACACAACTGTAATGTAAATAAAATAACATATTTTCTTACAATTAAAATAAACTCAAAACAGGCAGTCATTTTGTTTACAGTCTTCTAGTCGCGGACAATGATTTTTTATACTAAATTTGAACACCATCGTATAATAATGACAAATATTTTACCGTTTTGTTGTTGATTTATAATTTCCATCACATACTTTAATACAGGTTGTAATTGTGGACTGAGATTTTGCATGGCCTGAATATTTCCAGGCTCTCTAATAAATCCTAACACATCAGAAGATATGTCAAAAACACTGGAAAAAAGAAAAACATTTCCAGAACGTCACAACAAAATACAATCATTTTCTATTTACACAAAGTGTATTTCCTCGAAGTTCTTATTAACATTAACAACCTATCTTAAACAAAGCTTTGAACAGATAGATAAATTTCATTTCACTCAATACCGCCTGAATTATAAAGTCACAGATAACTTACCTATCAACAGCAGTAAGGAAGTCCCCAAAACGTTTTTCACCAATATTAGAGAAACAATGTCCAAGCCTGTCAAAATTGGGAGTGCTTTGCATGGTTCTATTAATAACATCATATACATCTTTGATTGTAGATATTATATCATTACAGTTGTCATCAGCATTATAATCAATGTTCTGTAATAATTATAACACTCAAACAATTATAATACATAGTACAAGACAGTCGAATCTGTCACTAGTATAGTATTTTAATATTTAAATTTTAACACTATATAAATTTCACCTCAATGTTTCACTCCCTCATATAAGAAACTAATGAGAATGTTAAAAGCAGAGATATCA